TCTCACCAGCTCGGATTGTTCGACTTATTTGTGTGGCGGGGACAGGCTGTAAGTAGTAAGGTGGTGAATCCAGGGCACAAGGACACTCCTCCGTGTTTGATGCGGCTCCTTAGTCAAAAGCCTGGTGGAAGAGGTCCGTCTTGCAGGCCCTGAGGAACTGTAAAAGGTCCCACAGGGCCCTGATCTCTTCCACGAGCAGGGCCGGCTCACCAGTTAGGTGAACTAGGCATTCGCCTAGAGCACAGGGCCCCGGATGGGGTGCCGAAGTTCGCCTCCCCCCCAAAAGCTCATGTGCCACCGTTTGCCTCCCCTGCTCCACCGCTGAAGCAGCCGCGTCCCCAGCCAGCCAGCCCCGTGTCCCCCGCCCCCATCCCCAAGTGCCACTTTCTTCTGCAGCAGCTTCCAGCAGTGGAGAGGCCAGTGAGTGCGGTGGCAGGGGGAGGGAGGAAGGAAGGGTGGGGGCGCGTGGGGACAGACCCCCCCCGGGAGACCCCCCCTCTCCAATCCCCCCCCGTTCTCCAGGCCGGCTGGTGGTGCCGCACCAACATGGACGGAGGTGCAGAGGAGATGTGGAGTCCCCCTAGCCTCCTGCACAGTCCCCCCTCCCATGCATGCCAGGTGCTGGCATCCGAGCGGGGGGGGGGAGGGAGGTGTTAAGGCAGGAGGAAGGCAGGGGGCTTAGCGCTGCTGCAACCAAGCCAGCCAGCCCCGCGTTCCCCACCCCCATCCCCAAGCGCCGCTGTCTGCTGCAGCAGCTTCCCCGTGGCCGGGCAGGGGCAGGGGCAGGGGAGAGGCGGCCTGGCCCTTCTAGGCGACCTCTGTGTGGTGGGGCAGTTGTGGCTCCGGTGTGCCTGGCCATGGGGGAGCCGGTGGTGGCGCTGCTACTGCTGCAATGGGTCAGGGCTGCACGGAGGAGGAGGCTGCTGCTGCTGGGAGCCCCCTGGAGGCAACGGTGAAGGCAGGAAGGAGGTGAAGGCAGGCAGGGGGGAGCGAGTGCCCGACAAGGCCAGTGAGTGCGGCGGCAGGGGGAGGGAGGACGGGTAAGGATGGACCCCCCAGGAGACCCCCCTCTCTGATCCCCCCGTTCTCCAAGATGGCTGTGCAGAGGAGATGCGGCGTCTCCCTCGCTTCCTGCACAGTCCCCCCCTCCCGTACACGCCAGGTGCTGGCATCCGAGCGGGGGTGGGAGAGGGAGGTTTTACGGTGGGAGGAAGGCACGGGCAGGCTCAGCGCTTCTGCAACTCGCGCTGCTGCAACTTTCGGGAAGCTTTGCTTCCCTTCCCCCCCCCACATCTCCAGGCCCCATGGGAGGTTGGCATCTGCGCCTCGCCTAGGGCGCAGGAACACTTCAGGCCAGCCCTGTGCACGAGCTCATTCCACTAGTATGGAGCCACCACTGAGAAGGCCCTGGCCCTGGTTATAGTCAGCCTGGCATCCTTTGGGCCTGGGAGGGCCAATTGATTTTGGGACTCTGAACGCAGTGCTCTCTGGGGAACATGTGGGGAAAGGTGGTCCCTTAGGATTCTTGGACCCTGACCATAAAGGGCTTCAAAGGTTAAAAGTAGCACCTTGAAATGAATCCATTATGCTATCGGCAGCCAGTGCAATGCTTTCAGTACAGGTTGGATGTGCTCCCACATAGGGAGATCCATTAACAGCCTGGTTGCAGCATTTTGCACTAGCTGTAGCTTCCAGATTTGGGACAAGGGTGGCCCCATGTAGAGAGCATTACAGTAGTCCAATCTCGAGGTGACCATTGCCAAGTCAGTACACTTGAGGAAGGGAACCAGCTGCCTGATCAGCTGAAGATGATAAAAGGCTGACTTGGCAGTGGCTGCCACCTGGGCCTCCATTGTTAAGGAGGCAATCCAAGAGCACTCCCAAACTCCTAACTTCCAGCGCTGGCACCAACTGTGCCCCATCGAAGGTCGGGAGTGGGATCCCCAGCTCAGGCACAGGACCTCCGTCTTTGTCAGATTCAGTTTCAATTGACTTATTCTAAGCCAACCAGCCACAGCTTATAAGGCCCGGTTCAGATCTTCTGGTGTAGAGTCAGACTGGTCACCCAACAACAGATAGAGCTGGGTGTCATCTGCATACTGGGTGACACCCTAGCCCATGCCTCCAGGCAATCTGGGCAAGGGGGCACATAAAGGTAAAGGTTTCCCTTGCTCGAAAGTCAGTCAAATCCGACTCTAGGGGGCGGTGCTCATCTCTGTTTCCAAGCTGAAGAGACAGCGCTTGTCCAAAGATGTTTCCATTGTCATGTGACCGGCATGACTAAAGATCAACGTGCACAGAATGCTGTTACCTTCCCACCGAAGCGGTACCTATTTATCTACTTGCACTTTCTTGCTTTCGAACTGCTAGGCTGGCAGGAGCTGGGGCCAGAGACGGGAGCTCACTCCGTCATGTGACACTAGGGTCTCGAACTGCCAAACTACAGACCTTCCAATCTGCAGCTCAACATCTTAACTTCTGAGCCACTGCGGCCCTACCAAGGGGACGCATATAGATGTTAAATAGTACTGAGGAAAGTATCACCCCTTAAGGCATTCCACAAATCAGTGGATGCCATTGGGACAGCTGTCCCCCTAGTGCCACCCTTTGTCCCCAACCCTGAAGAAAGGATGTGAGCCATTGCAAGGCAAGCTCCTGAACTCCAATATCGGCGAGACGGTAGATCAGTAGCTGATGGTCAACCGTGTTGAATGCTGCTGACAGGTCCAACAACAATAGCACCGCCGATCCACCTCGATCCAGATGCCTCCAGAGGTCATATTATATATATGTATACTCATCTGTTTCTGAACACAGTTCAGACTGCTAGTTCTTACCTTAAAGGCCCTTAATGGATTGGGGACCAGGGTACCTGAAGGACCATCTCCTCCCATCTGGCCCACCAGTTAAGATCTCTCAAGCCAAGCACTCCATGCCTCTGCTGTCAGAAGTGAAGTGCATGGTGACTCGAAACAGTGCATATTCTGTGGCGGCACCTCATCTTTGGATTAACCTCCTCATTAAGGCTTGCCTGGCACCTGCTTTACTTTCTCTTAGGTGCCAGGCCAGAACACACCTTTTAACCCATACTTTTAATTAGGGATTTTATCTTATCAGCTTTTAATGATCTGCTTCTGTTTTAAGGATAGCTTCTATGATTCTTATGCTCAATCGCTAGTTTTTAATGGGTTGTCTTTTTCTACTGTGTTTTTGGATTGTCAGCAGTTGCCTCAAGCAGGACTCTGGAGAGGCAGCGCAGAAATATCCTAAAAATGAAATTATTTTAAGTGCTTGAAATTTGCTAATTCCCCAACCTAGATATTTGCATTGTCCCCCTTAATAAACTTTATTTCTGTTTTCACCGTATTCAGATATCAGTATTCTTTCCTCATTTGTAGTGTGGGACCTTGTCACTTTGTCACAGACCCTTTAAAATTGTATGTGGGTCACTGCATAGGCCTGAGAGTTTTTAAAGCCACATGTAGATTCTACGCCAGCAGCACCTAAGTGTGAGAAGTGGTGGAAGGAAGATATTTATGCTAATTTATTCTGTATTTGGGCTCAAATTTGAGTACAAGATATATTCTCACTGACACGTATTTAGGGTACACATGTGTGTCTTGACAATACATGCTAACATAGCGCACAGAAAGAAGGGAAATATCCTGTCAATGAATGTATGAAAAAACCCCAACCTGACCACAGTTTAAAAATTCAGTTTGTGCATGTTTCTGCTTATACGCATCAGAAAACATTGTAAACTAACAGACAATATTTCCAAGCTGCCCTGAGACCTTGGAGACTTAAATTTGTGTTCTTAAAATGTTATGGTAAACATCACAATACAGTATTTGTGTTTTTGAACATATTATAGGTCTGACAATACAAGTCACAACTGGATGCAGAGTTAAGCATGCTTACATCTTTGTGGGACTGTGGCCTTTTTATCCAACTCTGAACTCATTTTCACCAGAATAGTCCCACAGAGGTTACTGGAGTCACACAGCGTCATCATGACTTTCACTTGAGAGAGACAAGGCCGTTTGACTTAGGGCAATATCAGGAGTAGTTTTGATGAGCTGAAGGAAGTAACCATGTAGGAATATATGTGTATATATTTGTGTCTGTGTGTGTGTGAATCCTGTAATGCTGGAAGGGGGCCAGTCCAGCTGCCAGACTCTTATTGAAAAACTAAGTCAGCCAAGGTACTATAAAGACCCAGTAACCGCTCCAAATGGAAACTGAGAATTCCCATCTTGAAAACAAAAGGCCAAATCCTACATTTCGTACTTAGGCAGAAGTCTCCTCATCGTTGACGTCAATGGGAAATTTCTGCAACCAAGGAATTGACACAGATATACAGTATACTATTACGCTCAGCAAGTTACCTAAGGGAATTTAAAAATAACTTGGATATCTGTTTTTCCAACAACTCTTTCATTTGTTCTGTAACGTGTTCTGTTTGAAGAATTTAAAGTGCTTTTCTGCCTAACCATGATAACTGATGCTTGAATGCAGTAAAGGCTTGTAAGGGCATTGATTTAAAGAAAATTGCAGTGTGGAGTTATACCCTTCTAAGACCACTGAAGTCAAAAGGCTTAGGATGGTGTAATCCTGTTAAGCACTGCACCACTAGTTACACATCCAACTTATGGCAGAAATAATTGGAGAATGTTATTTTTTGCTCGACTGGAGGGGGGGTTGTCATTGATTGGACCCCGAATTTTGAATGCAGCACAAAATCCCTTTTAGAGCAATGTGGTCCAGAAAATGGGGAAAGGTGCTGGAGCAGCTATATAATCTGGCGCTACCTCTTTTTTACAAGCATTTGCAGCCTGCTGCTGCGAGCATCTGAAATGGCTACAAATGCCTTCAGGCGTGGGCCTTTGGCAGAGAGAAAAGAGCAAGAAATAGAGGACTCTTCTACATCACCTAAAATCTGCTTGTACATTTTCCACCCAGCAAATAACATGACCTGAAGTTGTTTCATTTAAACTTACTTCTTCTTCCTCCAAGCCGGTTAAATCCCAGAAATAACTCAGTCTCATCTGCAAACGCTTCCAATTTTCAAGAAACATGGTGGCTTAAGAGAAAGAAAACCCCATTTTAATCACAAGAAACCTTCAGGGTGCAAGATACTCATGTGCACACACACACACAGTTTATTAATAAAAATTAAAAATAAATTACCATGTCCATACAGAGAGGTCTAATATCAAACAATAGAAAACATACACCCAAAGCCATCTATCAAATAAATCCAAGAGCACGAGATCTCATTTCTTAAAACCTTAACCAGCTAAATTGTTGATCATCTGTGGAAAATACTCCTTTATTGGAAAGGAGAGTCAAGACTGGTGACCATCACTCCAAACAATCTACCTGAGTCAAAATACCCGGAACTAAAAAAAAAAGAACGGATTGTCCATTATTCTATTCATTAAAAATTGATCCCCCCTTCTTTAAATTTATGGTATGCTAAATTATGGGACTCAGGTGCAATTATGTGCATTACCAGAACATGAAATATATACATTCCTCTACCGTAAGCATGTGACAAATCAGAGACAGAGAAAGAAGAGTATATACAACAACGTGATTGCTCTTGATAAGGTATAGTTGGTAAGACAGATTTCTGGTATTAGCTACATGACACTATTCTTGTATGAACTCTGCTGGTTAGCAATATGATTCTAGGCTAAATTCAAGGTACTTGATCTGGGCTTGGAATACTCCAGAGTGCACCTGCTTCAGTATGGACTATTCTACATACTATCATTTGCTACTGAAAATTGCTTGGTGGCCCTGCCTAATATCAGACTAGTGGCTACCTCAGAACTGGCCTTCATAGTTCCCAGACCAGAAGGTGGCATCATGTAATGGGTGAAAATCTGAACCAGTTGTTATGAAAGGTTTATGTATGGATTATATTTTCATATGACAGCCAGTTCTGACTGGTTACTTAAATGTTTATGGTGTCATCATGATACCCAAAGCAACCTTTCTAAATTGTTATAATGTGATCTGAGCATCAACTTTTAAAACACCTTTAGAAAGCCACTGAAATCTATTACAAATACATCTTATTTGCATTACCCACAACAGTTTTCAGTTACATGCAAGGTGAAGCACTCAGAGCAACGAAGGAGAAGGCTTGTTTCAAGATCACCAAAGACCAGTGAGAGGAAGTCAGCATGGCTGAGGCCTACCAAGAAGAAGCTTGTACTAGGATGCTACTGTACACACAGAATGTGGCAAAGGCAGGGGGCAAAATCCACTGTTGTTACCGTTATGTCTGGACATAAGGAGGCATGCCTGGACTTGTCTGGCAGGCCACCAAGATGGAGACTTGGAGACGCATGTCTGGGCTTGTTTGGGCAGGCCACCTAGTTGTAGTTTGAAACCCCAGAACAAAGGCAGGCAGGATCCTGGAACCTGCCTGTGGATTGGCCCCTGAAGGCAGCAAATCTGGAGCCTGGAAGCCATTTGAACTCACCAGTTGCATGGGGACTGGGAGTGGTTTTAGATGTATATAGTTCGGGCAGTTGCCCCATGTAAAGCATTCCTCTTGAGATGCAATAAACTGCTGCTTGTTGAAATCACTCTGCCTTCGCCTGCTATTTAACACCGGTGACGAGGATGGGATCTTTCTAGCATGGCTAGAGGCCAAAAAAGCTGAATCACCTCAGGGGAACCATCACCCCAGACCTGCAGTAAATGTGGCCACATCTCTCGTGCCTGCCACAGCAAGATTTCCCGAGGCACACCCAGAGCACCATTGCCCAGCCACCTAGGGGTCCACTGTGAGTCCACCCGCCATGAAAAGTTCTACACCACCAAGTTTCACCTGATCCAGAGCGACTGCCTGCTAACTAGAGAAAAGATACACGTGCTAGTGGAAATCCAAGGGTCCCCCTGCAAAATGGAGGTTGACTCTGGCTCAGCATTCTCCATCAACTCCATTGAGGCCTTCAAGTGCATCTGCCCCAGAGGCGGGCCCCACCTAGAACCAACTGGACTGCTGCTCACTGACTTCCAGGGGAAACGCATTCTGGTTCAGGGCACCGGCAAGTTCTGGATTCATTACAAGAACTTTGATGGACTCCTTGACCTGATCATCACAGAGGGCCGCTGCACCAGCCTCCTTGGCCTCGCGTGGTTTAACCTGCTTGGTATCCAGGTGACTGGAGTTCAGTGCATCAGCCAACAGGACTTTGATGCCATCTGCCAAGAGTTCACCCCTGTCTTTGAGGGGACCCTTGGCTGATACACCAGACCCCCAGTCTCACTGCACCTTGACCCGTCCATCGTGGCCATCCGAATGAAGGCCTGATGGGTCCCCTTCACACTCAAGCCCAAGACTGATAAGGAACTGGATCGCCTCATCATTCAGAACATCCTGGAGCCAGTCTCTCACACTCACTGGAAGACACTGCTCGTCACCCCGATTAAGCCCAACGGGGATGTCCAAATATGTGCAGTCTCCAAATGCACACTTAATGAGCTTTTTCAAACTAAATCTATAGCTCGTCTTTTATATGGCTCTCAATTGGGACTCTCCTCTAATGTCAAAATCCTTGAACTGGTTCAGTCCACATTTTTTAGATCTCTTTTCAGTGCACCTAGATGTACTTCCAATGTCATCCTTAGACAAGAAGCTGGACTGCCTAAAGTAGAATTAAAAGTATGGGAACATACATTACACTACTGGCTAAGAATCCACCTTGAACCCAAGGGACTAATTCCCCTGTTATTAGCCTCTGATCCTTATCCTATATGGTCCTTAAAGATAATTGATAAAATTAAGCTGAATGGATTGGAGCCAGAAGTCTTGCTGGATATGGGACTGAATAAAACGAAAGCTTTAATTTCTCAAAGGCTAACTGACATTGAGTCCCAAAATAGTGAGGCAATACTGCCCTTAAGCTATAGGAGTTTGAAAAAAGGACCAAGCTATATAGTACCCTCATACCTTTCAGATATCACCCATGAGAGGTACAGATGGGCTTTCTCAAGAACACGTTTTGATGCATTCCCAACTGCAGTTCTACAGGGTAGATTTTCTCAACAGCCTATGCAGCAACGATGTTGTTCCTGTTTGAGTAATGCGGTTGAATCAATTACACATCTACTCTTACATTGTGAATATTATGAAGAAGAAAGATGCCAGATACTTATTCCTCTACTTTCTAGATTTAAGCCATTGCGATATTATGTTGATTTTAAACCTGAAATTCTTTGGATATACCTCTTAGAAGACAGTCAAAAACCTGTATCTTACGTGGTGGCAAGGTTTTGTGCACTGGCTCTTAGAAAGCGGAACCATTTGTCTAAGAAACTGCTAAGGGCTGAAGTATGAATTTTAGCTGTGCTCTGATTTTAATCTTTATGTATTAGTTGTCCAAGTTGTATTTTAACCTTGCTGGTCTCAGTAATAAATTTGATTTGATTTGACACTTAATAAGGCTCTTCAGCACCATGCCTATCAGGTGTCCGTCATCAGGCACCTCTTCATCTCCCTTGCTGACATGAAAATCTTCGGGAAGCTCGACCTAGCCCAGTTTCAGCAAGCTGCCATAGACTTCTGTGTATAGCTAACCCCCCCCCCCGATCCTTCCGTTGGCATCTGTGCATGCCTATTGTATTCTGCACTGTATGTATGCTTGTCTCATGCATTCCTTTCTATGAACGCTAGCTTAATCTTATCTACAAGGCCACAGGTGCGGAGGAAAGGAGGCTCAGCTTAGTCTATAATGAATTAGAGCGTGTGAAGTGCTAATTGTTTATCTTTATGGTAACCGTTGCTTCTCAGACTCTGGGCGCGAATCTGAGAGTCCAACCATGTAAGCGGGAACCAAGTCCATTGGTTATTGTAAGTTTTGAATGTGCTTCATTATCCCATGTCCCGCCTGTCCCAGGTATTCTAAACAGTGACCTTGCTCCTGTTCTATCATGGCTTCAATAAAATACTACTTTGCTTAAATGTGTATTGGACTGATAGCTGTGGGGATCGGACATTCTGTTTAGAATCCCTTTTTCTCTATCGTGCCGAATCTACTGGAACCAGTATGAGCGGTGCCGAGGAGGAACCATCTAAGATGGAACCTGGAGATGGGACCACTCCGGTTATGTCGACCCCACCGGCCACAACAACACCAGCACTGGGGGCAGATGGGGGAACCGTCTCGAAGAGCATTCATCTGACTTGGCCGATAAACCCCCCTCACCCAGCCAAATCGGCTTGGGATAATTGGAGTAACTTTGATGCGTTGGCTGCTCGGGAAACTTTCTCCCAAAGAGGGGGAGGTCTCCGAGAAAGCATGTACGATCAGGGGCTTCTGACAGGCCAAGGACGGCCGTCGTGGGGGACCCAAGCCGACCAGGCTGGGAAGCCGTGGATGACGAGTCGGCTAGAAGAACAGCCGAACAGATCCGGAAATGGAAGAGAGGGTGGAAGATATCGATCGAACCCTCCAACAGCTGATGCAGACGGTGGAAGAAGTGTTCCACCAAATACCAGATTTGGTGGAGAGGTCGGTCGAGACCACGATGGCCAGGAAACCCATGCCCCAGGCCCCTCTGGTGGGACCAGAGGGACCAGCCCTCCCTCCACCAGGGGGACCAGCACTGCCTCCCCCAGCAGGACCGGGAGCACCGGCGATCCCCCCCCCCACAGCCAGGTGGCCCGGGGCCAGGGAGAGCACGCCCAAAAGACTTGCTGGAAGCAACGTTCGATGGCAACCCTGAAGAGCTCGCCTATTTCGCGGTGCAGGTGCAGAAATTTGTACATCTGCATGGCGACTTGTTTCCAGACGACAGCAGTCGGATCAACATAGTGGCAGCCCACCTGAGAGGTCCGGCGGCGTGGTATGTGGGTTTGCACAACGCGAGAGGCCCGGAACTACAAGACCTACAGGCGTTCATGTGGGCACTGAGAACAAGGTTCGAAGACCTGAATGCAGGACAGCGGGCTAGAACATTTTTGCACACCTTCAAGCAGGGACGCCAAACGGTGAGGGAATACTCAGCCGAGTTCCAGAATCAAGCGGCCAAACTCCCCAACTGGCCAGAGCATGTCCTGGT